ATTTGTATTGAGGAACAGATTCCCCACTAGGGGGTGTGCATGTACCACTTATATTTCAAAATGGTCCTGGTCTTAAAAAATTGACTAAAAGATACACAAGTGTTCTTGGATCTATCTTTTCTCTGATTTTCTATTCATCTTTTTTTTGATGAAATTTTTTAAAGGTTACACTTATTTTGTAAAGAGAATGAAAATTTCTAAATGGAAGGAACCAAAGAAAAATAACATGTCTATATTTTGTAGACAGCATTAAAGGATAATGCAAATGAAAGAAGCGTAATTAAAGGATGTATATATCTAAGTTAAAACAAAACCCACGATTCACTTTTTTTTGTTGTTGTTGAGATAGATTCACCCTGAGCTAACATCTGTGCCAATCTTTCTCTATTTTGTATGTGGGTCACTGCCACAGCATGGCTGACAAATGGTGTAGATCTGCACCCAGAATCCGAACCTGTGAACCTGGGCACCTGAAGCAGACCGTGCTGAATGTAACCACTATGCCACAGGGCCAGGCCCCATGATTCACTTTTTTTTTGGTGAGGAAGATGGGCCCTGAGCTAATGTCTGTTGCCAATCTTCCTCTTTTTGTTTGAGGAAGATTGTCACTGAGCTTAGACCTGTGCCAGTCTTCCTTTATTTTTTGATTGTGGGATGCTGCCACAGCATGGCCTGATGAGTGGCGTTTAGGTCTGTACCCAGGATCTGAACCTGCAAACCCCGGCTTCCCTAAGTGGAGCGCAGAAACTTAACCACTATGCAATTGGGCCGGTCCCATGATTCACTTTTAAGCTGAGGAATTATTTTAAATCATAAATGACTCTTGGTTATAGGCGTTATTCTATACTCTATTCATTCGACAAACATTTATTGAACACCAAGCGTGGGGCAGGAATAAGAAAACATCCATGCCTTTGGGGAGTCCACAGTCTAATGGGGAACACAGTCATGTAAATATAAAGCATAAGGCATCAGTTAAGTATAAGATAAGAACAAAGTGCTTTAAGTGCCTAGAAAGGATGAGACTAGCTATGGTGAGGAGGACTGTCACAGAGAAGGGGACAATCCTGTGTCCCAGACTAACTGCTTTTCCCCAACTGGGCCTCCCCAATGTCTGTGTTGACAGATTTCAATCATTGTCACTAGGATGTGTGTTCTGTCTCTGTGCTACCGCTTTATGGCCTGACTGGTAGCCACAGGGTAGTATTTGAGTATTTATATACAATAATCTTAGCACTACACCTGTCTAAGCATTCTGGTTTTCCTCGTGTTTTCTCATCCAATTCTGGGGTCGAGGGACACCCAGACAATTAGTTGAGTTGAGTGAGGCAACAGGCTATAAAACTGAGCAGCTGAAAAACTCTGGAGAAGTAGAAGAGCAGCCTTGTGGGAAGTCAGTTGCTGCGAGCATTGGACGTTACTGGAACCCCAGTCAGCATGACATCAGTATGCTTAGCTGACTAGTGAGTTGCCAATAAATCCTATGGCATAGAAATCTTTACTTTACTTGTGTTTCTTAAAGTAAATAGATTGTCAGAGTATGCTTGTTTATGGGAAAACAAACTCTCCTAAGCTGATGTCCTGTGGATGGGCATGTGTGGGTCTGCGTAGATATGATTAAAGCACATGCATTTAGATGACTAGAGGAATACCTAGAGGGAAGAAGAGCTTATTAAAAGACGATAAGTCCTGTTGTAGGACTTGGCTGCTCTTCTGTACTTCCCAGAGCAGGTTTTTTTTCTGTGTGTGTGTGTGTGAGGAAGATCAGCCCTGAGCTAACATCCATGCCCATCCTCCTCTTTTTGCTGAGGAATACTGGCCCTGGGCTAACATCTGTGCCTATCTGCCTCCACTTTATATGGGACGCCGCCACAGTATGGCCTGACAAACGGTGTGTCGGTGTGCGCCTGGGATGCGAACCCGGGCCACTAGCAGTGGAGCGTGCGCATTTAACTGCTAGCCGTGGGCTGGCACCCCGTAGAGCAGTTTTGAGAGTGGGAGATTGCCAGTTGGAAACATCAGAAAGCTGTAGTGTCAAGTGCTCTCATTGCTGATCTTATGAGAATGCTGTTATAGGCAATGAGAGTCTAGACCAAGTTTGGTACTTTTTAAGGCAGCAGAGTGATTTTTTAAATGAAAGAAATAAAAGGGATAAAAACTAAAGACACGATTTAATTTAGATGCCAACACTTCTCTTATTATCTCTAGTATAACTGCCAAAGAGCGGGCGGGCAGGGGGAGGGTGAAGGAAGCAACACTTTGATATGGATTTTAAAACACCAAGAAACCAAGGGCAAAACAAATAACAAATTTAGATGAATGTTTGGGTATTTTATGACTATTTTGTGAAGCTGTATCTTTAGCTTTTCTTTGTGAGAAAATTATGGAAAAGTATACACGAGATTTCAGCATTTTTATGAAGATAGGACCATTTGTTAGTCAAGGTTAGAGGGAAACTGAAAGAATTCCAGACTCTTCCATCAGGATTTTGGAATAATACAATGATGGATGAAATTTAAACTCAACATAAGCAAGGTAATGCTGCAGAAGCTGAGATTTTCAATAACTGTGTTTATACATTGTGACAGCTTATAAATTAAAAACCTACCAACTCTTATGAAATACACTCAGCCATCACCATGGATAATGTAATAGAGGTGACTGCTTGATAGAAAGGGGAGTTTAGACCTGATGCTATACTGAAAATGGAAGAGGAAGTAAATTAGAAAGTAGTATGTTACTGATTATTTGATGGATTTATATGTCCTATAATTAAAAAACAAAAGCAAAAAACATCAGAAGCTGCTAGGAAGTATAGATGGGCTAGCTAAGGGCTGGTAAGAGTGTAGGTGCCAAATTATATTGCCTGTAGATTCAAATAAAAATAAAATGACTGCTTTTCAAATTCTTTGTATACTTAATTAATGTAGAATATTATTTTAAAGAGCCAAGACAGAATGTAAGCTGACTTGATTACTCGAGGAAAAAAAATGAGAAAAGTCAAATAAGTTAAAATGAATTAAAAAGTTAAAATGAGAAAAGTAAAAAATATTTTGTGAAATTTACTACCTTAAGGAATTTTTAAGAGGTCTTGAGACAATTCTAAACCTCAAAACCAAAAACTGAGACATTTCAATATAGTTATGTATGATCTTGGATAAGTCATTAAGCTTCTCCCAGCCTCTATTTCCCTCTCTGTATTGAAGGGTAAAGAAATGGTTTCTTAGATGCCTTCCAGATACAAACTAGTTTTCTTTTGTCTGAAATTATGTTTGATAATAATTTCAGACAAAAGTTATTTAACTAACCTAAGATTGGAGAAATTTCCTCATCTATCGTCTTAGCTATTAAATAGTACTGCTTTGTGGCCTGCCTATTATCTTCCACTCTTCCTCTGACAATGTATTGATCTGCTTATCCCAGGCAGAGAAGAGCCCCTGACATGTTCATTACAATGAAAGAGTTGTGAACATTGACCCACCACTTAGGGATTTTTTTCCTACCTAAAAAAAATTTTTTTTAATGTGTAGAGGGAAGAATATGGACATAGTAATCAGATAAACTTGGGTTCGAAACCTAATTATTACTTACCAACTGATTGCAATAGCAACTGTGTTTCCTTATCTGGAAAGATAGGACTAACACCCACCTTGAAGAATGAGAGTGTTATTCAGCACTGAGATTAATACATTTAGAGGTTTCTGTTCGTTTTCTTCTTATTTATAATCCACTAGGGCCTAACTAGAAAAGAAAAGAGATTTAATTATTTTTAGAGTCTTAAACTAAAGAAATCACTGCTGGCTTCCAGTAAAACCTTTAAACAAAATGGAGTGAAGTAAGTCTCACAAATAAGACAAATCAGCCACTCTGACAGGGTTTGAATACCAAGGGGATTTTAGGCAATACGCATTAAATCAACATACACCTCCAGGATTCTTCTGCAGAACATTGTAACCGGTCATTTCTTCGCTCATGTGCAAGGTTTCCAGAATGCCACGGGAAAATTAACCCTCATTTCAATATATTAGGCTTTGAAGTCTGAATATAAAAGCAGCCAGTTTCCAGACGCCTGGAGGGTGAGTCAGAATGGGCTTAAGCTCCCTGGAGGGTCTCCTCCCCAGAGCCCCCAGCTCCTCCTTGGTACCCAGACCTGAAAGCATCCCTCTCGTTCCCATTTTTCTTTCTCCTTCTTCTTCTAAGCTCCCACCCCCACCCCACTGGGCTGCTTCTCCTTTTCCCATAAGTGGTCAAAAAAGGAAACGGAAGTATCTATTTGTTGCTTGGTGTAGTAGTGCCTGAAAACGTTTTTTTAATTAAGAAAAAAAATCCCTCTCCAGGTTCTTCATTTTGCAATGACTCGGAACGTCCGCCGGCTCCCTGGTCCTCCCCTACCACAATTTCGTTTACTACTGTGAGGAGGTTCGGCTCTGTCCGAGGGGTCTGAGCCTCCCGCCGCCAAGACAGGTCCCGGCGCGAAGCTCGGGATCCCGGGAGGCGCGAGGAGCGCCGCCCCCGGCCCAGCGGGCGGCGCGGGAGAGGCGGCGGCCCCTGCCCAGCGGGC